TTTTTTTTTCATTATTTATTTTTTTCATTATCTACAGATTTTTTGCGCACCACGTTGTGGTACCGACGCATATTATCGTGCAGAAGACAAAAAATTCGCCGAACGTTGGATGACTGGCTGGGCATGGCTGTGCTTCTTGTCGACGCTCTTCACTTTGTTAACTTTCTGGGTTGAGCCATCCAGATTTCGTTATCCTGAAAGACCGATAGTCTTTCTGGCGCTCTGCTATAATCTCCTTGCTATGGCTTATATTGTCCGTGCTGCGGTTGGAGCTGACAATCTTAGCTGCGTCAGTCAGATTGATGGGCCGAGTTACATTCCAGTAAGTAAACAGATTCTTCCAGTAAATAACGCGATCCTTTATAATTCACATTTGATTGTTAATTAAAGAAGACTTGATTAAAAGTATAAACTAATTCCAAGAGAAGAAATATTCCAAAAAGTTATTCCAAAACAGATTTTTTTTTTAGCAGAAATTGCAAAATTTGCTAGCAGATGATCGATAAAACGAGAGTAAAATTTACAATTTAATAACTATTTAACTATTTTAATGATATGTTCCATTCAAATTACGAAAAGATCTCACATAAGCTTTATTTTATCCTGAAGATATCTCAAATTATATATTGACAAAAAAAATCATCCTATCCGAGATATACAACGAAATTATTGTAAAATATCAGATATCCTACTATATTCAAATCCTTCTACCACACAATACAGTTCTCCAAGAGATGTCCTAAGGAGAGATGTTCAGAGTACAGTAAAGATTTGCAGTTGGAAAATGAGAACTAAAAGATTAAAAGTAAAAAATGTAAAATGTATAATTATTTTGGATACGACGTACCTATTGCTTGCCAATTAGGATATATCTCATATGAAGTTTATTACAAAGATTTTTATTATATTAAATGTTATACTAAGATTGTATTCGAAAATTACGGATGTCTCTTTGTTTAACATTGAGTGAACAACAAGGACAAAATGATACACGGAGGTACTTAGGTAATGTTTCGAATGCAGCCTAAGAATAATATAAATTACAAAGATGTAACATATTAGGTGTGGGAAAAAGTTCGTGGCGTTTTTTTAATGCCATTTAATGGGAAAAACGCC